AAAACGCCTTACGATACATGGTCGTTTTTTTCGGCCAAAAACGCCTTACTATACATGGTCGTTTTTTTTCCGGCTCAAAACGCCTTACGATACATGGTTGTTTTTTTGAGCCCAAAACGCCTTACTATACATGGTCGTTTTTTTCGTCTAAAAACGCCTTACTGTACATGGTCATTTTTTTCACCAAAAAACGCCTTACTATACATGGTCGTTTTTTTCATCTAAAAACGTCTTACTATACATGGTCGTTTTTTTCGTTGAAAAACGCCTTAGTATACATGGTCGTTTTTTTCGGCTAAAAACGCCTTACTATACATGGTCGTTTTTTTCGGCTTAAAACGCCTTACTATACATGGTCGATTTTTTCAGCTAAAAACGCCATACTATACATGGTCGTTTTTTTTTTTGGTCAAAACAAGCCAGACTATACATGGTCCTCTCAGTAGGGTTTCAGTGAACTCACCTCATCTCGCTTCACAGCAATCTGCAGTTTGGCAGATCGTGAACAATCAAAAATAAAAAGTCCTCAATGTGACAATATGTTTATTGCTACTCCCAGTTGAAGCATTCATGAATCAAAAATCAAAGAGAATTACATATTTTGTTTTTCAAACATCCACAAAAGATTTTTTCTTTTCAGTCCTTAATGCTGACAAACAACGCATAACGCTATATCGACAGGCTTACGAATAGCATAAGTGTGGTGGTGGTGACAGAACTAACTCCTTGAACAAAGAATATAAGAATATAATATAAACGGTGGTGAAACACACGTGGACAGCTCATATAAAAACTCAGGCATATATTGTTTCGTCACTGCAAATAACTACTGATGTTACTGCAGCTTGGTGAGGAGTAACTCGTGACCGTCTCCACATGTATCTGTGTTCTATTACACTGCCCCCATGTGGCCAAGGTATGCACACCGGAAGAAACAGCACAATGTTCATTGTGTTGAAACAAAAAATTTGGCAAAAATGTTCCATTCGTTTCATTCTATTTAATTGTCTCGTGACGGTATGTCTTTGTAAAGCACAATATTCCATGCATCTATTTTCTTGTGCTGCTTATCAGGAGTCGGGTCATGGGGGAAGTAGTTTTTGCAGTGAAGTCCAGTCCAGACTCCTCTCTCGTTCCTGCCACTTCATCAAAAATTTGGCTTTCAAATGTCACCCAGACATCGTAACCGCAACATCAACGTCCTGCTTTGCTCTACACTCAAGTATATAATTGTACAAGTCAAAGTTCTGCCCCTTGAGGCTATGACAATACACTAAACCCGTAAAAGTACAACGTGTACTATTGTGCATGTGATGATGTTGCCACTTTAAAATGAGCGCATGTAGGGAGGCGGGGGTATTTTTCTCCTTGTCAAATGGTGTTCTTCTGAGGAATGACGTCAGTAAGCGGCCTCTTTCAGTGTATCTGCCCCCCCCCCTCTCTCTCTCTCTCTCTCTCTCTCTCTCTCTCTCTCTCTCTCTCTCCCCGAGTTGCGCGTGACGTGACGGTGCACGGTCACACGAGCGACTCTTCTAGAACCCAACACCGTGGCTCGGATAGGTGGGGCCACGGCAACATATAAACAACGTGCTGTTGCGCAACACCTACGTCACTGGTGTTGAACAATTGGAACCTTGCTGCGTGTTACTATTACCACTTAACTTTATGTAAACAAGAAGTCAGTTTCGGGTTTTTTTTCCTAATATTCCTTGACGAATGCTTATTAATCGAAATAGTTGTTGCACGGTCACAAAAAAAACAAATTGTGTGCCTGCGTTTGGTCCGCCACCTTGCACACAACACACGAGTACACACCCCCTTCCTCGTTGTGTACTATAACTGCGTGGGCTCCTGCACAAACATGCTGCAGCATCTGTGCACGGCACAGTAGCAACACAGCACTCAACTTCCAGAAACGAAAATAAAGAGCGCGTGTGTCCTACAGAAATGAAACGAAGCAACGTGCTAGTCCCCCGGCCAAGAAATGAAAATACGAGTTTGAATGTGTCTTTGGAGTAAATGGAAAGTGCGTGGCCTAGTTTTTTCTTTCACGGGCGCACCACACGCTCCTCCGTGGCAGGAAAGCACACGGAAAATAAGTTATGTAAGTTGAGTGGAGTGGATTAAAGTGTCGGAGCTCACCTTTCGGACTCTCTTCTTCGTGATGGACTCGACTGCGAACACTTGGTCTCCGATGGATGACAGCTCCATCCCCGCTCAAAACAAGCTGTCTCCGTTCCAGGCACGAGTGGAAGAAGAACGAGCGAAAAGAAACCCGAGCAAAGGGGAGGAAAATAATGTTCGTTCGGGCCACTAAAACGCCTCCGATGCCTCTCGATGTCCGGGTCGCGTCACGCAAAGTGCTCTCCTGGCTCACTTTTTCAAATCTGCGACACATCAACACGGGACGACGGGTTGCTTTAAGTCGCGCGGCGCGCTCCCGACTCCGTTACGTAGGGCCGAGCCCCCAAACGCGTGGCCGCGCACGCAAATTAGAGCAGAGTGCAAAGAGAAAGAGAGAGAGCGAACGACAGAGAGAGACTTGGACAATGCCGCTGTGCAAATTAAAAAGTTGGAATTTAACCATTGAATAAAGGTCTTTAAAGCTGCATATTGCTGAATAGTTTTAGAAATACCTTGACATTTTTTGTGTTTGGATCTATCTATCTATACAGCGTGGGATCGGTTCCCACACAGTGAGTGTGGGTGTGTATGGTTGTCCATCTCTAGATGTACCCTGCGACTGACAGGCGACCAGTTCAAGGGGTCGTCCACCTTTCGCCCGAGGTCAGCTGGGATAGGCTCCTGATGTGGTGGTCAAGTTTTCCTTCTGGATTCCATTGAGGTTGAACCTTCTCACCCCAAAAACACATGAAAGATTTGACTGGAGTGAGACTTGAACTCCATGACCTTACAAGTATTTCTGTTTACATTTGAAAATCCATTCAAAAAATAATTTTCTCAAAAATGCAGAAAATAGAGTTGATGTCAACTGGAAATCGTTTCGAGAGAAATTCTGTCATGATTCTGTTTTTGTTTAGTGGTGGGGTCGAAAATAGGTGAATGGATTACTTCTGTGTGCAGGCAAAAAAATTGTTTTCCAGCAAATTCTTGAGTCATCAAGTTTTTTTTTTTTGTTTATAGTATAAAACTACTTTTTAAATGAGTTTACCATTTAGTTAAGCTTTCCGGCTAATAGGGGTCATCCACCCTGAGCATGAAACGTTGAGGGGTGAGTGACACTCCTCAATGCCACTAAAAGATCTGTTCAAAAAAAGTGTGTTTTCGTTTTAACATTAAAAGACACCGCCTGCAATTCAGTATGGGCCAACTTGAACTTAATACCTGAACACCCCTCTGCCCCGGCTCCCGGAGTTACTTGACATGATGAATAAGCGGGCGGTTGCTGAAGGCCCAGATAACACTGCCTGTTTTCCGAGAGGGATCCGGATCATTTATAGTAAACTCAGGCCGTACGCACACAGGGTCTACAGTCATGGTCTGCATGCACCTGGAATGCTTGCATCACTTACGGGCACAGGTCACCATGGCAACTGTTTCTACAGCAACCACTGAAAAGCTGGATGATGATGGTGATCCAGCAGGAAGAGTTGATACGCAGCTCGCGGGATGAACAGTGATCCATGTTTACCGCAACCTTTGACCTATAAATTCAGTGAGATAGATCACCAAACCCAAGCCACACTGAACACAGATCCCGCCTCAGAGGTGTAACTGAAGAAGCAGCGTTTAACCGCCAGCGCTGCTGATATAGAACCCTGTGAAGTCATGATATCGCCGCAAATCTATACACTTCAACCACAATCAGATAATGAGATGCATGATGACATCAGTGTCTGCTATGACGTGTAAAACACTTGTCAACCAGCGACAATTACTTTCAACTTAGCACAGGACGACAAAGTGTCTGGTGGTTCACTTATCCATTCTTTCTTGGTTCAAAAATGATAATTTATTTTCGACGAATAAGGTATCGATGTTCAGCTATCTGTGCTAGCGACTATTCACTTTTGTGTGGATTCGGTGACGTCATCACGTTTACGGCGCTTCCATAGCGTTCCTCCGGCAGGGAACGTTTACAAGTTAGCGGTGTGACACTTCCCGAAAAAAGGAGGTATTTACTGCTATTCAGGAAAAAAAAAGAAAGACTCGTTGATCACATGACTTGTTATCTGCCCGGATACCGACAGTTTGTGCATGCGTGTGTGCGTGGAGTGGGGAGCAGTACAAAAAAAACAAAAAACAAAGAAAAAAAAAAACACCGCAGGACCATTAGCGCCCACTCGTGATGAGTCACGCGTGACTCATCGAACGTGCCAGTAAGATCAGCGCTGCTTCCCTGGAAGATTAAATAAAATAAAGCACATCACTTTCCCCATACCGGGAATCCTATGCGTTTCTCGTTAATTTAAACCGGGATCGAACAAAACCGCCTGTGGGAATACTGACGAGGGCGAGGGGGGGGCCCTGCAGTTTACTGCACAAAGTTAGTTGGCCACGACCAGTGAGTCACACACGACGCTTGCATCGCAATGCACGGTGTGCTTTGTCATTTCTACCTTCAAGTGACTGCATGCATGTCATAAGTGAAGAAGGCGCACTCATGTCAATACTTTCACACCGTAAATGCGAGATTGTTTGCCATGTGAGAGGCAAACCGTTCGAAAAGGATTTGCAATTCATACACAAACATAATGAAATCATGTTATATGTTCCCGTATTAGCCAAAAATAGCATTTACCTCCTACACACACCAAAAAAGTACTTTCACTCATGCACAAAAAAGTCTCACTACCCCAAAAATCTGTTACCCCCTCCAAAAAAAACAACCCTCCCATCTCACACAGATGCACTATAAAACTCTTCATGAACAGCAAAAAACACACATGCACACACCAAAAATGCCAAACATTAAAAAAAGCATCTCTCATTCACAACCAAACAAAATCATACACACCCAAAGAAAACTCTCATTCACACTTAAAACACCTCTCGAGAAAAAAATTCATTTAAAAATCTAAAGTCAAGTTTAACCTTTGACTTTGTTTTTACAGATCTTGTTATAATTCAAGATGGTTTGGCCGAGAATCTAATAAACAACAGTAAATACTGAGGGACACTGTGAACTTTGCTGTATTCCCCTTTTGCTTGCTGGCGTAATTTCAAAACGGCAACAACAGGAAAAAAAATCTTACTATAATTCAGTATCGCTTAGTTTTCTGTCTTTTCATATTTTCAGCATTTATCATGTACTTGAATAATGTACTTTGAAAACAAATCTCTGCATTCACTTTACAGGGTCTTTAGGGTTGAATCAGTATTGTAGCAGCAGATTAAAAAGTCATTTTCCAGTTTGCTGCGCCCAACGTGCTTAGCTGGCTTAGCTGTGAGATTGCGGTTGAAGACAAATGAGTCAGGACGAAACCAAATTTGAGATGATTCATTTCCAGAGAAAAGTATGCAAAATAAAACCAAACTCACATCTCAGTAAACATGTCCCCAACAATGGAATGTAGAAAACATTGACATTTATTATCAGTCGTTCATTATAAAACAGTATATAATTTGAATTTAAAAAAAATGACATCAAGAAAAGTGATTGCCTCTGAAACTGCTCTCAGCGAGGCTGCGCCACAGAAAGTCAAATAAAAAGAAACGCAATGAATGGATGTTTCATTCAAGTCAAGGGCAGCTGTTACCTATTTTGAAGCTATAGCAGCAACGCGCAGACGCGTTTTTAAGGATTCCTTGAGAAACCTCACTTGAATATGCGCGGCATGTAAATGCGAACCATTTTACATTTTGTTGCTGCCTGGTGGCCATCAGGAGGATGATCAATATGTGATCATCTCATCCAACTCCCTTGCCTTCACTTGACCCTGCCCCTCTTGGCATCGTTGTCAAGTCCAACGTCACAAGAAGGCACACGGGTGGGTTTGCGCAGGTGTCGCATTGTTTGTAAAAGACGCAGCCAGTCGAGTCGCAGAGTGCAAAAGCTGCGCGTGCAAGCTGTCACCGCTGCGGACAAGTGAGGCGCGTGTGTCCTGGCGTGTGGCAGATGCCGCAGGAACGAGGTTTCTTGGCAGCGGGGGGTTTGCCGCCCGTTAGCTTCCTTCCCTTTTTCCCTCCGCCGCTGTTGCTGTTAAACGGGCCGCCACCTGAAAGAAGAAAAGAGTTTCACTGTATTCCATTTATAAATGGTGTGTGACCACTTTGACCCCCCCCAAAAAAAAAAAATCAACATTCTCACAAACCAAACATTTGTGTGCGTTTGTCCTACCTTGTGCCAAGAGGTTTTCATCAGCCCACTGGAAGAAGTTACACTGTTGGTCTCTCGGTTTCCCGCAGGTGTGGAACACCCGTCCCTTGTTGGGCCCGTCCTTCTGCACGGTGCGAGTCACTGTGGCCTCATTACAGTTACACATCAGACCTCCAGCGCCTCCATTAGGTGCACCGCCACCTGCTCCGACCGTGTTCCTGATTGCCAGAAATTGAGAGGGTGGAGGAGGCGGCCGCTGTGGTGGTGGAGGAGGCCAATGATTCTGCAGGGCCCCCTGATGGCTGGGCTGATCCGCCCAAAGAAAGAAATTACAAGCCCCCGAATTGCACTTGTAGAACTGCCGTCCTTGGTTGGGGCCTTCTTTGCGCACAATTAGCAAAATTGCATCCACACCACAGTTGCACACAATGACATCGCTGTTGCGTTCGCTGAGGCCATTGCCCCCTGGTGGTGGGCGAGGCTGCGGGGTCCAAGAGCGTGTGGAGGGTGGAACACAAGCCCTCGAGTTTGAACTTAATGGTCGGGGTGGTGCTGGTCTTGAGGGGTCCTCTCTTCCTCCCCCTCCTCCTCCACCTCCTCCTGCTTGCAGATATTTAAGGTCCAGCACCTCTCGGAGAGTCTCGTCACATCCACCGATGCAGCCGACAAACTCTAAAGGCATCACGGCGGGAAGGCTGCCCCTACGGAACTTGAACTTTAACCTGAAGGACACAGAGTGGGCAAATGCCAGCCATGATTTACAACCACATTTCATGTACACACCCCTGCAAAGTACAACCACCTTATTACACATGTTACGTAACTTTTAAAATCCTATCTTTGGAAATCATACTGTGCAGATGTAGCGAATGTCAAAGTGGCGGAGCAAAGGTCACCAAAATCACTGAAGTGTACAGACAAGCTCGAGGTACAAGATACATGTGCTTTTCAAAATGCATGTCTAAAAAAAAACCCTTTAAGTTTCGCTAACAGCAGGTTGCCATGGCGATCAGCAAAGTAGCACTCGCAGAAGACAGCAACATGAAGTTTTTGTATTCGTAATTAGTTACGGAACAAACTGCTGGGTGACGTGACGTGAACCCCCCCCACCCGCCAATCTGTTTTTGTCCATAAGTGTTGTGGTTCAGCTCTAAGGTCTGTACATCTGAAGAGTTGCTGTGGCAACAGATACTGGTGTGAAGCACTCGGTCTTGCTGCTTTCCAAATGTGCCCTATATTTGGACTGTGCTCTGGCATTTGGTCAGAGGGTGAACGCCCACTGACGCCAAGAATTTTTGTCAGCTTTACTCACAATTTAACTCACACTGACACTATTTCAAAACAACCTCGCTTTTACAAGTTGATTATTGCTCAGTTTTCATTGAGAGCCATTCATTTCACGTCTCTTATTGTTGAAATGTGCCGGATCATTTTGTCCATGTGACAAAACATAAGGTCACCAAAATGAAATTCATAAGTATGAAATGTCGCATCTCTAAAATTGTCAGGCAGAATTACCTTTGTCACGGCGGAAATTTCGAGAGCGGTTGCTTCGTGGAGCTTATTGAATTGGATATGTAGGTGAGTCTATGATTGCCCTGTCGGATAATGAGCTTTCACTGTGAGCTCGGATTGTTCTGAGAGTCATGATTTGCATAAAAGTACACACCATAACCTTGTGCATTGTAAAAAAATAAATAAAAAAAACGCCACTTGCATCAACTTGACAATTTTTTTCCCCTTCCCCCTGAGGTAAGCAAGGCAAGGATAGTGTGCATCATTACCCACAATTCAGTGCTCTAGTCATCTATATGACTTGCACATAGCTGTTCTTCACAGCTCAAAATACTTTCACCTTCAGACATGCTCATGCGCAATAGACTAAGAATAATATCTCGGGCTCTCAGCCAGATCTGCCGCTGTTTCATACAGCTTGCAGTGTTAAAAAGCCTCGGAAAGAAAAAAAAAAAAAAACATTTGAAGTCCAAACAACCTTCCCTGCAATGATGCAGCACCGAAAGAGGCACGTTGCCGAAGAGCTCGACGAAATGATAACTGGTCAATTGCTCTGAGGACATGGCGGCCTCGTGCATGTCACTATGGCTCACGTTCCTTTGTCAGCACGCACCTGCATTTTGAGTTTGTCACAAGCGTCTGAAAAGAGTTTTGGAGCACGGCACTCACATGTGAACGGGCCGCGGCTGGCAGGTGGAACAAATGCTGTCGTCTCGGCTGACCTCCAGCACCGTCTCAGGAAACCATACGGCTGTTTTGCAGGCTGGGAAGCCCACGCAGGACAGAAACTTACTACATTTAAAGATGGACAAAATACATGCGTACATGAGAAATACATGCTCTTAATACATGTCATTTTTGAGAATAGGTTTCTTAAATGCACGAATAAAAGATGCACTATCCTAAGACGATTCAAAAGGATTTAAAGCAAGAAACAAAATAATCACGCACTGTAATATATTTGATATTACAGCACTCTACACGATCTTTGTCCTGCATATCATGCATTCCATATCCACAAAAAAATAAAATAAAAAATTAGGCCTACTCACATTGTAGTATAGCTCAGTGTAAGACGCAGTGCAAGCACAACTATTCCATGTCTACCACCTAGTGGTGAATGGTGAAATTACAACTTATTATATTATCTGCATATTTGCAATTTGGCTTTTCCCAGGATTTTTATTTCCATTTAACCGTAATTTTTGTGGAATACAAACAGTGGATGTTTATCAGTGTTTTTTTTTTTTTTTTTTTTTTTAAGAATTCCTTTTGGGGAGTGGGGGACAAAAATTAAGAAATGTCCCTGCACTAGACGAAGATTTAGGTAAAGCAAAGCATTTAACATTTGTTAACATCACAATAGCCAAATACAAACATGTTATTCAGATGATTATTTTTGTACGAGAAGTAGTTTTTTTTTTTTTTAATGAGCTCCACGGCTTTGTTTATCTCACCCGTTTCCCTCCTTCCTCTTCCTCAGCACCATGTCCCGTCCACAGTGGGGACACTTCCTGACAGGCAGCTGGAGCTCCATGTCTTGCTGTTCAGTTTCAGGGATCTCCTGGGCAGCACCCAAATACGGCGACAGAGCTTCGTCTAACCTAAGGCGGCGTCGAGAATGACTTCTTGATCAGCAAACGGTCTCCAGTGGCTCCACCATTTTCAGTCGTACGAGTGGTGTAAGTCTGAATACAACACCGGACTAACTTTTTGGCCTTCCTGACCGACTCGATGAAGACAGCCTTGTATTTCTGGATGTGGTGTTGCAACACGCTCCTTTTGTCCTTCCTTCCCTCTGATACCAGCTTGAGGTCTGCCTCCAACTCAGCCCGCAGGTGTGGTTTTGACATCTCATAGCCCATGGCGTTGTAACCTAAGGAGAGAGACGCGGCACAAATCGGTTGGCGGATACTGTAGCATGCAGGTGCAAGGTTGTTTGTATACCTTCCACCAGTCCCATGCCAAGCTCGCCGGGAAGAAATCTCTGATCAGGCGTCAAGCCCACGTACATGCGACTTTTGATGGTTTCAATGTGGTCTGCGTGTGTCGCGTCGGTACCTGTTGAACACGATATTGTCATTCAAATGGGTGTGTTAGAAAGACAAAGTCACTGCCAATTTTAGCTGGATAGCACATTTCGGATAGCAAGCATACAATCCATAAAGCAAGATGGCGAGTTCAACAGCTCGGGACCATAAAAAGTAGTCAAAGAACCTTCAGCGGATTTGCAATGCGTACGCGGAACACTGAGGAGAGATTTATAGGTGGTGTATAGTTAGTGGGCATGTGGGGAAACATAAGTTGGGGTCGCACCGTGAACAGATTTAAAAACAACAAATCTTCAAATCGATTCTGTACTGTCCAAACTATTTTCGCCCAAAACATGTTGACGCCGGTAAATTTGCATGTCAACACTGACAAAATAGGATTTTAAAATTCTGTTGTAAGCAATCATTTGATTCAAACAGTTGATGACTGCCATTTATATCAACCAGGCATATCTGAGAAAAATATCTGTTATGTTCTTTTTTTTTTTTTTTGGGCTTGGGGCCACCAAAACCTTGAAATCACAGCCTCAAAATGTGCGTTTGCGACATACCGATGCCATGCTTCTCCATCAGTGATATGAGGTCCGCTTCGGTGAGCAGCTGTGGAGGACTCGTCTGACCGTCCACCATCTCGATGGCCGACGGCTGGAACTGGGAACCTTGTTCGTACACTGGAATCACCTAGCACGCACAAAGTAATTTTAATAGTAACTAAATATTGATTTTTGACAACTCCCTATCCACCCCCACCCCCCACACCCCTTACCTTTGCACTCCACCTGTCATAAGGATAAACATCTAAGTAATTCCTCGCAACTATCATGAGTCCTGAAGTGGAAAACTTCTCCTGAGCGATGTCTATGTCCACAACTGTCTCCTGCCCCAAAGCATCCTGGGATAAACAAGCCAGGAAATGCCGGACAACGAACTCATACACACGTCCTTCATTTCCCTGAAATAGCAAAACAACAACGGTGCTCAAAACGACATCGTTTTGTGCGAAGGTCATAAAATGTGGCTACCTGCAGTGTGTTGATGTGTTTCGTTGGGTGAATAGGGGGATGGGCTTGGTCAGAATTTTTGCCCTGTCGTGGGTTGGGACCACCGGGCTGCTCAAGCACCCGCTGGGCGAAAGCCCCCCAGTCAGGGTTTTGCATCTGCTCTTCCACCAAAGGTCTGAGAGCAAGGGATGCTGGGAAAATGTTTGTTTCCGTGCGAGGGTAGCTAATAAACCTTCAGAGAAACAGAAATGGAACATTTACGGAAATGTTCCCAATATTTACAGTTACGTTTCGCCCAAAAAAAAGTCAAAGTATGCGTTCCCCAAAAATCAAACAAACTCCCACTCACCCTTGTGTGTAAAGTTTCTCCGCAATTTTCATGGTCTCTTTCGCACTTATTCGAAGCTTTCGCGATGCCAGTTTTTCCAGTTCCTGGTGCGTGAAAAGAGAGAGAAAGGTCATCATCGGGCTTGTGGAACAGACGGACCAGCGGAATGGGCAAGAGTGCGGTTGCGGGACTTTACCACAGTGTCCAATGGCAGTGGTCTCCATTTGCTCTTGGGCTTGCTCGCGACTGAGGTGACTGTTGCTAAGGGATCCTAGGAAGAAAATGAAACAATATTCTGGCATGTAAGATTTACAAGTACAAAAATTTGGGCGTGGTCTCTCAGTACAAGCAAAAGTGGACACCACTGCAACCGACTCACACTTTATATCATTTTCATTGGTCATTTAGATTACCTCCATGCAGATCTGGTAAAGCACTAGGCAAGCTGTGTGGTTGAAGAGACGGTGTCTCTTCCACCCAAACTCAACAGTTTCCTCCTCCACTTCATGCAGCACTGAAACATGGAAGCAGAAAAAATATATATACAATTTCCATTAACCATAATCCAAACACCATATCGAGATTTGGATCTGTGTGTGTGTGTGTGTGTGTGTGTGTGTGTGTGTGTGTGTGTGTGTGTATGTGTGTGTGTGCACGCACCCTTGATCTTGTAGAAAGTCTCAGGAACGAAAGCCTGGATGGCTTTGAAACGCTCCACTACGAAACCCAGAGTGGGAAACTGGCAGCTGCCGTAAGAGATGAGCTGATTGGCCAGAGACAGCGGGAAGATCTTCTGGAGGCGAAGGGTCTGGAATCGTGTGAAGGATGCGCCTGGATGTGTCCGGAGAGAAATGTATTCAGAAAGTCTAAAGGTTACCGACAGACCATCTGCTGCGTCACAGAATCTTGTATTCTTTGGTGTGATAACCGTATGCGCCTCCTCACCTATCCGCAGGTCGAGCTCTTGGCGGACATCGACGGCATCGCTGATGTTAACGTCTGGCTCCGATAGCGTCTCGCAGGCTCTCCGAATGGAGTTGGGGGTGATTTCAGAAAACTTTGCCCGAAACACTTGCAAATTAGGCTTCACTAAAAAAAGTATTTATCAAGGATATGTGCATATCAACCACTGTACCTCAAGATGAAATGTAAACATTGCTTGGTCTGTCTTTGCATTGTTAAGATTTGACACGACCTTACCTGCTTTACAGACGTCGATTATTTCAAAGCCAATGTTCTCTCCTTCTCGGTCGCAGTCGGTCCAGATAATTAAAGCCTGACATTGTCTCACCTCTTTTTCCAATGTACGCTGCATAAGAAGGACAGCAAGGAGAAGTGGGGGCTCCGTTTTTGAACAACAAACATTGTTTACACACAATATTACAGCCACACGGAACATAAAAACAGACGGAAGATGAAGTAGAAGGTTCCCTAATTTGTTTCATTACAAAGAAATATCATGCTTTTTTTTTTTTTAAATTCCTATGCTAAAGAGTCACACCTTAATTTGTATCATGCCATCTGGACAATACTTCTCGACCTCGGCATCAAACAACAGCACTGGATTGCAGCTGAGCCTTGGGAAAGAAAATGCATGTACAAATGAATCCTAACAGAGTGTAACAGGCAAGTGGACATGCCCTTTCCAAACTTACCATTTGTGGTATGGAGCTTTAAATTCAAGACCCAATAAATGGCCTGAGACTGATGTCATTGCTACTGTCACATTCTGGATGTAAACACAAGGAAACAAGTACGTAGAGGAAACGTGCAAATAAAAGAAACAGATACAAAACAGTGCGTATTTCGCGGCGTTCACATACCTGACCAAAGAGATGATATTCATACTCATAGATCTTGTTAAACCTGGACAGTCCTTCCCTCTGAAAAAGAAAATACAGAGAAAATAATTTCGTCCAAATCGAACTCATAACCCTCGAGGACAAATTCTACCAGATGAGCAACTACTGGTAATGTAATAAGCATTTTATTACACTATCTAAAATTAAACGTCAATGACAACAAGAGACTCACCCTCACGGACATGCCATTGGACATGATTTCGGAGATGCCTCTGGCTGCATCATTCTTCTCGGCGACGCAGAGGACCCGCTTGATCTGACCCCTCCGCATCATGTCTAACGCTGTCAATGAGTCTTGCGCCAGAGAACGACACCTCAACTGGATACGTGGCCTCTGGTGTCCCAGTCGAAGCAGATGTTTTGAGAGGAGGTTCACTACTCGCATGCCTTGGCCGCTTCTTACATAAAGCAGCCTCTCGCCACTGTTAGCATGTTAACTAAAAATGCTAAGTAGTTTAAATACAAGCTTTAAAACCACTTGGAGTAGGAAACCTGTCACTTTGTCAAACTTCAACAGACCTAAACCAAGAAAATAAAAGTCACCGTTGTCCAAATACATCTCCCAAACCAACACTTTCTTCGTGGTGTCCTCTATTATTAGACACAGAAAGCTCACATTGTTTACACACTGCGCGCCCGCCCGTCAAATTCTACCGTATTCTGCGGTGGTGTCGTAAAGTCAGTACAGTATATGCCGTAAAGGGTTTGACCGAACACCTTTATGACCACAAGTTTCACTTTGGAAAAGAACACTCACGTCCCTCGGGCGGAGAACGATTGCATATGTGACATTGTAATGTTTTCAATGATATCGGTGTTAAAAAACAAGCCAGCAAATAAAACATAACAAAAGCCGTAATATGGTCCGAAACAAGCGGGTTTAAAGATGGTTTCCAACTGTAAAGTTCCTCCACGATTCCAATGTCCATTGAAGCCGTCCACATAACTAGAGGTTGTATTTTAAATAGAGAAAAAACAACAACATCAATTTAGCTCCACCGCGACTTTTGCTCGTGTGGAATTCTTGCATAGGATTGGTAGATAAGTCACCTGACTCGACTCCAAGCTGCTGAGTAAACATGGCGTCAGTCTCACGGTGTCATGATGATGTCGCTCCTGCCTGCTAGCTGGATGGTTGTTGGGCGCATCTCTGGATCCTAAATGTCATCGTGGTGGAAATGAAGACATGAAGAAAAGACGGAGAGAGTCGCGTGATTTCATTGTGTCGATGCTTGACATTGCATGAAAGATCTGATGCTGGCCGGATGCAGGGATTGGCGTTAGAATTGCTTTTGTTAGTGGGACGCTGACCCGTGTACATGTCAAGGATTAACATCGAGCATCCTGTGCTGTGGACTGAAACCCCGATGCCAAAATTGAAAAGTGGGACGCACTTTCCACATCGTATTGCATATTTTTGGCGGACACGTATGCTAGTGCGTGGACGATCAGACCACGGTGATACTTGTGACTTTATATTGCGTCTGCCTTCCAGCCGTGCTCCCTGCCTGCTTGTTCACAATTGATAGATGGGCTGCGCGGTGTGATGTCTCTCATGCCTCGTTCAAGAATAGCACTATGATAGGTTCACCTGACGTGGTGGCTTTCACAAAAGAGGATGATGATGGTCAGAGCACTTCTGACCCATGGGCTATTCCAGAGGAGTTCTCCATTCCCCTCCATCCCCTGGCTGACTCCAACCCATGGGCCAAAACCTCTTATGCTAAATTCACAAAGGACTTCATCCTCATTTCGGAGTTCTCTGAGCAGGTGGGCCCTCAGCCTCTCCTTAGCATTCCCGATGACCCCAAAGTCTGTGGGAGCTTTGATCTCAACTACTTCTCCCTTCGCATCATGTCAGTGGACTACCAGGCATCATTCGTGGGGCATCCGCCTGGCAGCGGATACCCTCGACTCAGTTTTGTGGAGGACTCAAGGGTCGTACTGGGTGATTCTAAAGAGGGTGCTTTTGCTTATGTCCATCACCTTACACTGTATGACTTGGAGGCGAGGGGCTTTGTGCGGCCCTTCTGCATGGCCTACGTTTCAGCAGATGAGAGGAAGATCATGTTGCAGTTTCAGGAGCTGTCCGCGCGCTTCTCAAAGGCCTCAGAGTGCTTGAAGGCTGGAAACCGCAGAGCCTTCGCCAAAGAACTCCAGAGGAAGCTTCGAGACCTAGAGTAAGTGCCTTCGAAGCAGGGTCACCCTTTCATAGCTAGGAACATTACACCTACACACACTCACGTTGTGTGCCAATGTATTTAACATTTATAATGACATACACAAAACAAAATAGAAAATGCAATTTCTGTAGCTTGCTGAAGAGCTGAAATGAAACACTGCGATACGTTTCAATTAAAGAACCGTTCACATTTACACATTTGGACAATGTAGCTTGCAATAAACTTAACGGGCATGTGCTTGGAATGCGAGAGTGTGCTGGCGTACTTCGAGAAAATCCAGCAAGCAAAGTGGGAAGGGAAACCCTGAAGCTGAGATTTGAACTCCAAACCTCAGAACTGTGAGTCAGAGATGCTTACGACTCGTCCCGTTGCAAAAATTATGCCATAATATTCCAATTTATTAATACTACTCCCTTTTTAGCTGGGTCTGAAGTCATAAACATTTGTCTGCGGTAACTGTCCCCATTAACATATTGACAGAAAATGGAGCTCTGTCACACTTTGACCATGTGATGCTTGTCGCGCGCAAACGTGCCATCAACCTGAAAATCTGGATGTTTCAGCGTCAACTCTCTCATATTTGCAGTAGAATGCATGAAGACCGTAGTTAATTGAGAAAAGCATCAGATTTGGTTGACAACTGTGTGCTTTTTTTCACCCCTCGTAGATACACTCACTCTGTTCTGCAGAGGGAGGAGGGCCTGCAGAGGGAGGCGGGGCCTCAGTGCATGTACTCCGCCCATGCTGTGGAAAAGGCCAATGAGCTCGCCAGTGTGGAAAAGAGCATCTACGAACACCGGGACCTTCTGAAACAGATCAGCTCATACCCTCATCGTCCCCGCCGGGACCCTCAGGCTGTTGCGTGTCAACAGTGCGTGAGCGAGTGTGAAGAGCTCTTTGGCAAGTATGCCATGATAGCCGACCCCTTGAGTTGCACCAATGGCGGTCAGAAGGGAGGAGACGATGCTCAGGGACATAATGGCCAGGCAGTTAAAGTGGACATCGGCGAGGACGAATATGAGCGGGTTCAGCGCAGGCCGTCCTATACGCCGCAGCTGATCAAAGCCAAGTCTGCAAAGTGTTTCGACAAGCGCCTCAAGACCCTCCAAGAGCTGTGCGATCACACCTTCTACGAGGCCACCGTGGAGTCCTTAAAGGAGACGGAAAGGAGTTTCCGAGGCGACCTGTGCTACCTGCACACACGTCGCCTGGACAGAGTCCTGCGGCGAAAGCAGAGAATTATCAACTTTCTGTTTGAGGAGGAACTCTGTGAAGACGACGATGATGATCTTGACGGAAGGGCAACATTCAGACCGTTTTGTGCTGTGAACCATGCCGTAGACAACTCCAGACTCTTCAACGGAGTACCTGTCGTACTTGGACCGGAACCTCCGAAGCGTTTCGACCCTGCCTCTGACACGAGCCATACTCGAGACCTCATGCTTGATGACAACAATCTCAAGTCCTCCTGTATTGACCGAGAATTCGAAACCCAGACGTGCTCAGAGAAACCTCATTTCAAGTGTAGCAACCAGAAAAGTTCAAAGCCAGAGGTTCTGGACGCTGAGTCCGACTCGACCCCAGACTATGACCGTAAAACTGATCTGGATGGTGAGAGCAACAAGGAATGGGCGAAGGCCGCAACTGATGAAGATGGGAGGCCCGAGGCTTTGTCAGAAGAAACTACAAGGAAGGACGGATGCGAGAAGGATTCTAAGTTTGTTCCCATGGATGCTGCATGCTGTATGGCCCATGAAGGTTTTCTCGATAATCCGTCCGATGCGGTCCCCCATCTCGCCGTCCACCTGCAGAGTGCTCAAATCCTCGTGGTCAACCAGGAGCCCCAGGCCCTACTTCCACTCCAAGAAGACTACACGGTGGGATCCCTATGCTCAGAGAACCACCGAGCCGGACCGCTGGGAGATGCGGTGTCTCGTACCTCAGCTGAGGACGGATCGGATTGTACCATGAGTGCATCTACCGGTTCTGATTGGAGTGCCTCCCCTCTCGGCAACGGGGGGATGCTGACCCTGCGTTTGAAGAAGAAGGCCGGGCAAGGGGCCTTGAGGTTCGTGCGGCAGTACCCCTTTGCGATGCAGGCCCTGTGGTCGTTGCTGAGCGGCAGGACGCTGGTCGTACTCGGGGCTGATGAGGCAAGAGTGCGTCGGCTGGTTTCTGCGCTGGCCATCTTTGTTCCTGCTCCAGGAAAATGTGGCGAGCGAGTCCAACCTTGGCTGTGTTGCCCTTTCACCATGACTGACCTGCACAGGTGGAAACTTATTGGATTGCAAAGGTATCATTCATCTTCTGTGTACATTTTGGAGTGTATTCGATTCCCTGAGAGTTTCTTAGTTAATATGGATTTACTGAAATGTAAAGCTTAACGATGGCTGACGGTTGATCAATATTAAGATACTGATGAGTTTGTCCATTAGTCAAATTTAAATAAATTGAAGATGTGGATGTGTGTCTTATACCATGTGATGCGGCATCAGTGAGCCCCAGAACAATATATCTCGAATTCGCACCCAAAATCCCCGTTCCCGAATCATATGTGCATTCACAAATATGCTCTGAGCGCACACTTGGTCACTCTGATCAATTTCTCTTTCCGTCTCTCAGAGTGGCATCTCCCACGGGTTCCAGCATGCTGTTCTCACTGTCCCGCTACAGTCGCTACATCTCCATCTTGGACGCCGATCAGAAGACCCTGCGTTGTCCGCCTTACCGTGGCGAACTGCTCGCCAACATGGCGGACCACCGCACCTATGTCCGCCGCGGCTCCACCTACTACCTTCATGTCCAGAGCACACTGTGTCGTCTGGCGGCCAAGGCTTTTCTGTTCACCTTCACCCACCACCTTCACCTGCCAGTCAACGCCGCAGAGGGTCCGGATGGCGTGGAGGCCCGACGCCGCTGCTTCCTGCAGGAGCAGCTGGGGCTGGCAGAGGACGACAGGCAGATTGTGCTCTACCTCAGCCACTTGATCACTCAGCACTACCTGCACGCTGCCGACGGCCGCAATACGGCAGCGCCTTCTTTTAATTTTAACTACACCACCAGCGTTTTATACAAAATCTGATCTTTTACAGGGAAAGGCCACCCTTTTTTTTTGGTTGTTTTTAATGGACTAACGAAGATCCTGATCTTGAGGATGATCATTTTAATTTGAGATCAAACTGCACTGATTTTATTTTTCTCTGCATAGCTAGCTGCCTTGCTGTTTTTTTCCGGTCTTGTGTTCGTAGGAAACGGAGTAACGGAAGGAGTCGGTGAATGGCTCGCTTGTGAAAGTATGTTAACTCAAATATGCACACGTTCTGTCATCATAACACAGCAGAGGAATGGTCAATATTTGCATATTACTGTGGTTACATTGTGGAATCGGTACCATGTCAAACACACTATATATATATATATATATATATATATATATATATATATATATATATATATATATATATATATATATATATATATATATTATTTTTTTTTTTATTGTTGTACATTATTTGGACACTGCTGTTCATTTACACAAATAGCTGGTTTGGTCCGAGACAAACTTGCATCACGCGGTTATTCTGTCCATGAAATTTCAGTAGCGCCATGCAAATTGGTTCCAACTTTGTCCACTATTTCAGCCCGATTGAATTTGATCCAGTCGTCTTCTCTTCACGTGATCGTGCATGTCCTGAGAAATAAGTGGTCACACGAATATTATCCCTTGAGGGGTGCAACAGCAAGGAAAAACCGGGTGATGTGATCCGCTGTTGTACTTCTTTTTTTTTTTTTGACTCTCAGTCAGGAAAACTTTTAAACTACTTAACCTTGAGGTATTGAATGTCACTGTTGTCTTAAAGGTGTGAATGTTGTGGTGTCAAGCATGAGACTGTCTTGTGCCGCAGTGAAATATTATATTGGTGATGTTTCCGCTTTATCGTGTGAACGAATAGTGATGGACAGGACGCGTGGGTAAGAAAGGATGGGTGTTACATTTTTTTTTTAAATTGGATTCACCGTTGCCTGATCAGTGGTCTTTGTTGGATGTAATCACAAAAGTCAAAGTTCATTTCACAGTCCACAAATCCAAATCAATTCCTCAAATGGAAATCAGAAATCTGCCATTCAAACAAACCCATAGATGAGTCCTCCGTATCTAATGCACACTTTTCTGTTGCTCATTTATGTGGTGTTGCTGTACTTTCGTATCTACTGTGTAACTGTACGTGTGACTGCATGGGGGTAAAAAGGTGACGGTGGGACTGCCGTCCTTTCTGCTAAAAATGAAAAATGAGCTTCAAGGTATTTTGGTGTCACTTCACTCAACCATCTTGAAGATTAAGTTAGAGACTCTACTAGAGCATTACATTCCACTTGACACGTGTATTGTTTTACCCCATTTGTTGCATGTGACCTATGAAGTACATTTCAGATGTTACCGTTATTAGCAATTTTCCCCGTAATGCAAAAAAAGTGAATGTAATCTGACCAAGCCATGTAAACACTCAGTGTCCTTAATTTACATATGCATGATGTCTGTGCACATTTTGTATGTATCACATCTTGAAGGGGGGGTGGCGTTATCTTTAGCGGATGATGTTTTGTCTTTTTTTTAAATATAGCTCATATTGATCTACGTGCTTTTACATATTTTCGATTAAATTATTTAAATCCATTATTTTTTTCACTTATGTTTGGTTCACACGGGAGTTAAACGAAGCATCGGGTGATCCTGATGCTCACTGTGACACTAAACAACTAATGCAACCGACAGATCATTAAACGTCAAGTGCTCTCAGAGACTCGTGTTTGTGTGACTCGTTTGCGCGATGACGCATGTGCTAGCTTTTGAGGCGGCATGAATAATAAATCATCAAAAGGGGAAAACAGCTCATTCTCCTGCAGGAACTGCAGAAACAAAATAAAGGAAAACCCAAGTGTTGCATGTATAGAATTGATGTGTGACAGGAAGTCAATCAGAATTGTTTTATTCAAATTATGACAACAAAAGAGTTTTTAAAAACTAAATCACACTCAGCCCCGTTACGAATGAAACAAAACACGCTTTAAACAGGAGACCGAAACACAATGTCCTCCTGAGAGGTATTGAAGATTAATCTTTCAGACAGTAAAACAGACAGAAAACAGCTGTAATTAATACAGGAAGGCCCCACTCAGTGTACTTGTGAGCCTTCGAATGACGAGGAATGATGCTGACAAAAGTAAGTAATAATTTCTGAAGCAGGTGGTGAGATGCATGTCAGCAAAGATGGAGGCTGGGTAGGTTTTTATGTCCTATACTTAACCAGAACATCCTCTGCATCCACAGTGGGTGCATTCAATGATCCTTCCCTATAAAGAGACAATTCAGAGAGGGTACTTTAGTTGAGAAAGGTCTTACCACACTTGGCCATTATGTAATCAAACAGTAACAAGTTCTCTACTCAAAACATTGTGTTTGGAAAAGCACTGAAACGAATATGGTAAAAGTAGAATTGCAACTGAATTGTCATCAAAATCATAATACTGTATTGGTATTTGTGAAAATGTTGAAACTCCTTCAAGACTTACAACTTCGAGCTTGCTCTTTGGAACTCTGCAAATACAGTTAGTCCCAAAGTTGGTGTCTCGCGTTTGGATGCAACGGAGGCAGCACAGGTTCTCATAGCCTTGCTTTTTCCACTTGGCAATCAGGTTCTTGTCAGCGTAGCCTTCCTTTATGCAGTACTCATACAGCTCTGCCAGAACACACACACGGTAAACACGGTTATAACAGACAGGAAAGGCACGTTGCATTCGGTAAATTGGGAAACATGTTACATCACAAGATAAATAATATGAATAAATATGGTCCTCCTTACCTCTGCTGATGGCTTTTCTTTTGAAGAAGAGGTCGTAGATGTATCGACTGCGCTGATGATGCAGTCTGAAAATAGGCCAAAGAGCTTCTACTTTCCTCTTTCCCTCGTGAGGTTCCGTTTCGGCTTAGAAATAGAAAATAGAAAGGGAATATAAATGCCCGACATATCAAACAATGCGAAGCAATAGGCATCGCGTTAACTACGCATGTGGAATCTAATGTTTCAAACTGGGCATTGTACACGTTTCAAAATACTGTATTACAATATGTTTGGATTGCAATAGTGTACAGCAATACGGGAAGATTCATTGTACAATGTTTACCTTCCCTCATTTTCTGATCAAGCTCATCCAAAGTAGGTTCAATGAGTTCCCACCCGTCTGGGGGTGGCTTACGACTTCTCTTAACTTTTGGCATTTTTTCTACACTTTGTCCACCCTAGAACAAAAGCTGCTAATGTTTTCCTGTTTGGCTAGCGAAACCGTCCGAGGCCCTTGAATTCGTCATCACCGGGGTCCTTTGGAAACTCGGCTCACATGTGACGTCATAACACAATACATTTATTTATTTATATTTCTTTTTTTCCCCATGTTCCGGATTATCTAGACATTAAATTCTTTACCTACTTGAATTTAAGTTTGTTTGAAGACAGATTCTGAGACAAAATTGACGCAAATAGCGTGCCATTGTTTTCGTGATATTGCATCACCTTAGGCCAGAAGTAGAATGCCGTTAAGAAAACAGAAATATATTTGTTTTATTTTTTTATTTATAGTTAGTAAAATACAGATAATGAAATCAAATCATGTGCGTAAGGGGTTACTAATATGTGCTTTTTCGGTGGCAAATGTTTGACGTATCTCCAACCTTTTTTCATTTTGAAGACATTTGAACAGGCATATCCGTGACCTTACATATCACTGCTGGATTGTGTTGCTCCTCCGACTTTAGCCAGCTGTCAGCTTTCTTCTCCCTGACGTCTTTTGTTTTTGTCAATTATTAGTCAGATTTTGATATACAGTATTCATTTCTCAAAATGCCCAAAGGAGGTAAGATTACTGTTTAAAACGTCAAATGTTGAGTGAATTCACATGTTTTTTAAAATACAGTATTGGCACGCGTTAGCCACTTTAAAACGGGTTACGATTGCCTGTGAAGAACACGCAGTGGGATCAGTTTACACTTCTGATCGCTTGGTGGTGTGATAACATTACACCGATGTAATCTGTATAAACACGTTTGCTTTCGATGTGTAACAGTTTTTCCTCCTCGATGTGAATAGTAAATAGTGAATCTGTTGACGTCTTTCATCTTCACTGTAGGTAGGAAGGGCGGCCACAAGGGTCGCATGCGAACCTACACAAGTCCGGAGGAGATCGACGCCCAGATGGAAGCAGAGAAGGAGAGGAAGACGGTAATGTACATTAAAAATACATTAAAAATGCATCAACCATTGGCGCAGACAACGATACAAATTATAGTGTCTATTACATATCATTTATCTTGCCACATCTGAATTGTTTTGCCACTGCCTCTGAAAATAAAAGGGAATTTTTAAGGGTCCTAAATTCACCATTTGATTTTTCTTTTACACAACTAAAATTTACAAGCTATGCTATCTGTGAGGGGATATTGTTTATGTGTATGATTTAGTTACTGTTGTTTGTGTGCAAGTCCTTGGCTGCTGGTTTGTTAAGTTGAGTTATCGTGATGTTCTTAGAGCGATCGTCGCATTAAAAAGCAGTTTGATAGGTGTATGCAGGGTCAAAAACTGTCATTCCAAACCAAAGGTACCAATGCTAATGAATGTAATATATCATTCTCATAAAAGGTCTTAGAAGCCAAATCTGGTAAAGTTACACTTTCAAGGGAACAAACGTCAAAGCATTCACTAATTGATTGTGCGGATGAAAAGTGTTTCAGCCTTATGAAGACTTTCTTGTGAAAATGCATTTATGATGGTGCTCTGAGACATATTTATCATAGCTGAGTAATGTGGCTGTATGAATATTGTTTTCTCTGTGGACTAGATGCAAGACTTTCTATATTCTTCGTTTCAGAATGAGGAGGAGGGTGCCGCTCAAAATGACGTTGCGGAGAAGTTACAAGCATCAGCATCAGATGATAGTGATGATGAAGGTTCACAGGTACTTCCACACTGATCTTTTTTTTTTTTTTTTTTTACATTTCAGAAATGCACTCTGAGTGATTGATGGGAATTTCTGCATTGTGAGACGAATAAATGTTTTCTTATTCTTATTTTGATGTGTTTGAAGAGGAAGAGAGTCGGTGTGGAGGGCTTGATAGAAATTGAGAACCCCAACAGAATTGTTCAGAAATCCAAGAAGGTGACACACATTGAGTTGGATGAGCCCAAGCAATTGTCAAGGAGAGAAAGGTGTGTGTCCACTAAAGTTCGTCTAATGTTTTTTGTTTGTTTTTTTTTTTGTCCCCATGATGGCATATAACTGTAAGTGGCATGTTATGCAGGGCAAGGCCACCAGTTTTATTTACTGAATGTCTTTTCCTGGAATGTTGCTGGGTAACTGGTTCTTGAATTGTCGAGTTTTTGATACTTCTATAGTGTTTTTATATCTCCCCCCCCCCCACCTTTGTGTACACAGAGAGGAAATTGAGAAGCAGAAAGCAAAGGAGCGCTACATGAAGATGCATCTCGCAGGAAAGACGGACCAGGCCAAAGCTGACCTCGCACGCCTCGCCATCATCAAGAAGCAGAGGGAGGAAGCGGCGAGAAAGAAAGAGGAAGAGAAAAAAGGTGTGTTGTTTGAGCGGGAAAATATATGTGTGTATCGTGGTGCCTGACTTACAAGTTTTTCGAGTTACAAGAAAATAATTTTGTTAGATATGGAACGCATTTGCATGTCCTTATCCACATTTATTTTTCCTTCTTGCAGCGAGAGAGGCAAAAGAAGCAGCAGCAGCGGCGGCTAAAAGATTAAATTCACTCTCGCTAAAATGATGCAGAGTATTTATCAGAACCATTTTCCCACTTCATGGACTGACGCAATATGGATTTGACTATTTGGAAGAAAAAAAAGTGCTACGAATATTCATCACCATACTGATGGTGCACCTCGCCATGGAAAAACGGCCATATTGGTAAAGTTGCAGCTGGGTCACTCACAATTGGACTGAAGTTATGAGCTTTTTCATGATATGAATCACACTGGTCATGGTGTAATGATTTTGATTATTGAACATTGGAGCTTTTTTTCCCCTTTGGGTTTTACACTGTATATAACTGAGTCATGAAAATATTTCAGAAATATATGATTAAAATGTTTAAAGAAATAATTTCTTCATTCAGAGTCAACTGATATGAACATGTGATGGATGAATACAGCAGTTGGTTCTTTTTTTTTATTGGTTGTTTTTCAGGAAACTGTAGCTTCCCAAAGAATGTGCTTTCCACTTGCCCTGGTAAAAAAAAATATATATATATACTTATGAATAATGTAGCTGGCTCAATCACTCAGCTAAATTAATTTGATTTTTAAATGATCAACTATGAAGAGTTGAGTTCTAACAGCCACATCTGTCTGTGTGGTGGCAAGTCATGTGGTACCAATACTTTGTTTCTATACTTGAAGTAATTTGTTTAGATATATGTAATTTAGTGTTTAATTTTCTGACAACTTCTACTCCCTACATTTTACAGATATGTGTGCAGTCTACTTAGACTATCAAAATAGACATGTCCCATTAAAAAGAAAAGTTTGTAACGCGGGGCCTGTCGTAAACCGTCCAGCTCTTGGATCTCAGTCATGGTTGGTCTGCAGAAACAGATCACATGTTTGACCGCACTCCAGGTGAACGGTGGCGATCAAGTGCACACATTTCACGTGCGAACGTAAACGAAGAAGAACTACGCATTTGATTGGTCCAAACTTTGGCGGACTTTTACCCTTCGGTGGTATGTCTACCCTCCGCCCCCCTCCTACCACGTGATTGTAGTTGAGTTTTGACGTCGTACGTCTCACTTTCTCTTCCTTGGCCGGTGAGTTTATCGTCGACTCCCAGCATTACAGCCACAGGACATTTTTGCAAGTCAGTGTTTATATCTGCTCGTAGTTACGATTCGCATGTAAAAAAAGACCGAGAGACTGATTCTTTTTATTTGGATCGTCTGACCATGCTGCGTGATTTTTACGCGTGTTGTAATGGCTGTCCACACATGACATTTAACAACTGGAGCACTGCAGTATAATTCTCGAAATTGCTTAATGGGTTCAGGATGCTGCGTTGGTTACCGGTTAATTTACAGTAATAATCTTACAACAAAATTGAAAAACGATTGAATTTACATCTACTTAACCATTGAGGGTATTTTTGCAGCCCTTTCAGGGTGAGGCGAACGCAGCAAATACATTTTGCTAGTTTTCATTTTATTTTACAGGAATTTGACTGCCGTGTCTCTGCAAATGTAAACAGCGTGTGGTAATTAAAAAAAAAGTACAAGGACAAGTTACACAAGCCACCAGACATTGCGCGTCAGCTCGTTTTTAACTCTTGTATTTGCTTTGCCCTGCAACGGTCCAAAGTTTATTCAATGGAGCTTCAAGTGTTGTAACAGGTACATTTCAGCAGAAGCTCTTGTTCCTCAATAAACACTGTGTCCACCTAACAGTAACATCACTATGTATAACGTTACAAGATATATATATATTACCGTAACATTTGTAACAATACAATTCTTTGTTGCCTCATCATAAAAAGTGATATCAGCTACAGTAATCATAAAATCCTGAAGGTAGGAGATTTTGCACTTTGGATGTTGACTCCAAAACTCAGATGAACTTATGAAAAAAAAACACATTCAATCCGCTTTTGCTCACTTGTCATTTTTTTCGAGTGCTTATCCTCAATCGGGTCATGGGTGAGCGAGCTGGAGCCTATCCTAGCTGACTTTGAGCAAGAGGCAGGGTGCGACCTGGACTGGCCACCAGCCAATCGCTGAGCACATATAGACATTAAGAGTTATCAAGTAAGCTAACACGCGTGGGTGTCATCCCACAACTAAAAACTGAAGGTCAATTTCCAGTTGGCTTCAGTGGCCAAGGCGCTGACACAATATCTGTATTTAGTCCTGCGTGCAATACTCTTACTGCCCTCTACTGCTCATAGGATGGTTGAATGCAGAGAAAAAATATACTGCACAGTGTACAATCGACAAAATTAATACACAGGAAGGTTTCCATCCATGCCTCTGGGGAGTGGAAAAAGGGCCGTGTGGCTGGATGAGTCCTGAAATAATATGACCATCATGCTACGGTTCTGTTAAGATCTCGTCTTAAAAGTATTGATCAAGTCAAAGTGAGTAGCATCTGAGGGTCATAATTCTATCTGTTTGGCATTTTCATATTGCATGACGACATCACTGCATCTTATTCTGAACCTCGTGGATGATAAATGGAATGTATGTCCTCCTGCTTAGCTCAGCACTGTGCAGCAACAACAACAACCATGTCTTTATCAAATGGCAGCCATGTCACAAAGGAAACCTGGGACTCGCACAACAAGATGATGTTGGAACCTCTGGCTGTCAATGACGCTGAGGTCAGTGTTTTTGTCAATTTCTGTGTGGACTTTTTGAGATAGGTTGATGTGTCACAACTGTTTTTCAGGTGTTCTCCATCATTAAAAAGGAGAAGCACAGACAGACGTACGGCCTGGAGCTGATTGCGTCAGAGAACTTCACCAGCAGAGCAGTTCTCGAGGCTCTGGGCTCTTGTATGAACAACAAATACTCTGAAGGATATCCTGGTCAGAGGTAAGAGAATAAACACATTTGTGAAACGATTCATGAAAGTGTAGATAGAGTAGGATTGCATCCAATAAGGAGAGCAGTGCGCTCTTTGGATTAAAAGTGAGTTTCATATCCACATTGTCACAATTGAGGTACTATGGCGGAACTGAGCATATTGATGAGCTGGAGAGACTATGCCAGAAGAGGGCGCTAGAGGCCTACAGCCTGGACTCTGACAGATGGGGCGTGAACGTGCAGCCATATTCAGGTAACTTTCTGGCTTCCCCCTATCATGAAAAATATGCTTCATTGTAAGACACTAAATTATCCAATTCCAATTCATTTGTCAAAATGTGCCCTGCTATAAGATAGCGGACAGCTAAGGGCATATCCCACCCTTGACCCAGTGTCAACTGTAATAGGCTACAGCGCCCATGTGACCCCAATGTTCCTAATTTCTCTGTGGTCTGCAAATTTCCCCATTGTGGGACTACTAAAGGTTATCATATATTAACTTATGAGGATGAGCAGTACGGAAAATGGACGCCTGGATCTCAAATGGATGAAGACGAAACGTCAATGCTTCTCTGTGTAGGTTCTCCTGCCAACTTTGCTGTTTACACCGCCATTGTGGAACCGCATGGTAGAATCATGGGCCTGGACCTTCCTGATGGAGGTCACCTGACACACGGCTTCATGACTGAAAAGAAAAAAATCTCTGCAACGTCCATCTTCTTTGAATCCATGCCGTACAAGGTGATCTCACACACACACACATTTGTTTTCACTCACCTCGGTCATGGGTTCAATGAATATGATTTCAAGTATTTAAAAAATAACAATAATAAAATCTTACCCAATGAAAACTTGATGCGAAGAGAAGTTTGTACATTACAATTGACAACAACCTCGCAGCCGTACGTCAGCTCGTGAGTCGTTGGTCAGACTGTGTGTTCTGATTTCAGGTGAATCCCGAAACGGGCTACATCGACTACGATCGACTGCAAGAAAATGCTCGCCTTTTCCATCCCAAACTCATCATTGCAGGTCCTCTATCACGTGCATTGCCAATGCATTGTCAAGTTAGTAAATTGAAAGCTTGCCACAGGATATTTTTGTGCGGTGGAATGACAGTTTCATTGTCTTGTATTTTAACTGAGGTTCTTTTCAGGGAACCTTGTACACACAAATGAACATTCAGACCGATGTTTTACTTTCCTTTCTTTCACAGGAACGAGCTGCTACTCCCGTAACATCGACTACGCCCGCATGAGGCAGATCGCGAACGAGAATGGCGCATATCTGATGGGAGACATGGCGCACATCAGTGGACTAGTGGCAGCTGGAGTCGTGCCTTCACCCTTTGACTACTGTGACATTGTTTCCACGACGACGCACAAGACCTTGCGCGGCTGCAGAGGTGGACTGATTTTCTTCAGGAAAGGTCAAATGTCATTGGTCATCCATTTTTTTTAAGGGGGGGTTATCAAGCATTCCGTTTCATTCTCATCTGTTCTTCTTCAGGTGTGCGCAGTGTGGACGCCAAAGGGAAGGAGACGATCTACAATCTCGAGTCTTTAATCAATCAGGCTGTCTTTCCGGGGTTGCAGGGCGGACCACACAACCACGCCATTGCAGGTCCTCCACATTTCAAGACACTTGTACTCTTATTTGACATCAGTTGCTGTTCAATCTGTGCGTCGTTCATTCTTTTCATTTCACATTGACAATCAAATCTTGATGAAAGTGACTCCTTTGGATTTTAATTGAACAAAAAAATGGCAGATGTCATCTTTCTATTTTAACCTCCAATCAAAAATACAAAATGTGAACAGCGGGCCACAGAAGGGAATTATTTTATTGGTTGCGTTTAGATGGCCCGAAAGTTTGGTTTTTGTGTGGCCAATTTTGATTGCCAGTTACAAATGGAAAGAATGAATGACGCATGGAATTTGCTCAGTTCCGCTCATTTCATTGAAGCATTTCAAGGTCTTTCTGCTCGTTACGTCCCCAGGTGTTGCCGTAGCACTCAAACAAGCCATGACACCAGAGTTCAAGGCTTACCAGAAGCAGGTTCTTGTCAACTGCAAAGCTCTCTCCACCGCCCTCATTGAGCATGGCTACAAGATTGTCACTGGTATTTTTTTTTTTTTTAATTAACATATCCTGTTTGGCTGCTTGGGCATGTAGAATGGGGCAACAGCCCACAACGAGTGAGCCAGTGACTTGCGGCAGCTTGAAAAGTAGCTGGGTGGGGTCATCTGACAGGGGTTCTCGGCAAACAAGAGCGCAATGGGGGAAAGGGAGCTGGGGGGTGAGGCGTGAGTGCATGTGTCAGTCTTAAGTTCTTAATGCCTGTAAGTGTTGTTCGTATGCGAAGAAGCCTTTTGACGTCATGATTATATTTGCATTTTAAGGTGGTTCTGACAATCATCTGATACTGTTGGACCTGCGCAGCAAAGGAACTGATGGAGGACGGGCTGAGAAGGTTCTGGAAGCCTGTGCTATTGCCTGTAATAAGAACACCTGTCCAGGTAAGATTTGTTGTGTCGTTATTTGTTGATGCTGCACCTCTCTCTTTTCGTACTGTACTGAAAACGTGCAAATGTTCATATCAATATAAATATGTGTATGTGTCTATATATATGGGTAAATACAGTATGCTGTATATTTGATCTTCTCATGCAGGGGACAAAAGTGCTTTGCGCCCCAGTGGGCTGAGATTTGGCTCCCCAGCGCTGACCTCCAGAGGCTTGCTGGAAGATGACTTCAGGAAGGTGGCAGACTTCCTCCACAGAGGTTAGGAATCTGCGGCTCCATCACCGAAGCCGCTAGGATCGTATATTGATACACATTCACGACAATTTTGACTTTTCCTTTCTTTCCCCTTCAGGCATTGAGCTCACCTTGGAGGTGCAGAGAAGTCTGGATCCCAAGGCCACTCTGAAGGAGTTCATCCAGGCCTTGGCCAAGGAAGAAAAGTTTCAGCAGCGTGTGAAGGAGATCAGGGCAGAGGTTGAAACGTTCGCTGGTCATTTTGCCATGCCTGGCCTCCCCGAGCTGTAAATCACGATGGCTCAACTGATGGTTGTTGTTGGACTGTTAATTATGGAAACTATTGCACACAATTTTGGAGGTGTGAATTTGGGTGTGTATATTTGATACGGTTAAAAAAATTCAAGGGCCGCTGTCCCTCCTGCAGCGCACCCGATTGACCTCATCAGAAAGCTGTGAAGAAGCCTGAAAATGGTCCAGATGAATACATGTCGGACAGCAGCACTTGAGGACCAGGTGTGAACACCCCTGGGTTAAAACCTTGTTTGCCAATAAAATTAATGTGCCCGAGGTGGATTTCCTCAGTGACGTGTGGTTACGATCAGACGAGTCCAGCGCTGTCCTCAACCGTCAGATCAAATAGTCAGCAAATTGATAAAACTTGTCAGACGTGACAATCTCGCCACTGCGCAAATGGAACAAGTTGAAGAAACAAGTGGTCTCGGAAAGAGAGCACACATCGTCATCACGCTTAAGCGCCAGTGGCTAAAAAGCATTCCATCTCACAGCGTAACAAGCCAACTTGGCACAGTTTCCGCCCTCTTTACCAGTTGCATCCAATTACCACAGACATGTGCTATTGCCCCTGGCCTTGACGGAACAGCGAATTCCTTTAGATGCATTCGTGGCGCGAGTAAACTGTAGCTTCTTTGGAAAAGTGCACGCATGAAACAACCCACGGCGTTACATCTGTAGATGAGTTTTTAACATGGTCCGTCTCACTTTCTCTTCCTTGGCGGGTGAGTTTATCGTCGACTACAACATTACAGCGACAGGACATTCTTGAAAGTCAGTGTTTATATCTGCTCATAGTTACAATTCGCATATTAAAAAAGGAAACAGACTGATTCTTTTTATTTTGATCGTGATTTTTACGCTGTCCTTCCATGACATTTAACAACTGGAGCACTACAGTGTAATTCTCGGAATTGCTTAATGGGTTCAGGATGCTGCGTTGGTTACCAGTAAATTTACAGTAATAATGTTACCAAAAAATTGCAAAACGATTGAATTTACATTTACTTAACTATTGAGGGTATTTTTGCAGGCCCTTCAGTGTTAGGTGAACACAGCATATACATTTTATTTTACAGGAATTTGACTCATGTGTGTCTGCAAATGAAAACATCTGGTGATTAAAAAAAAAAAGTCTGAGGTCAAGTTACAAAAGGCACGAGACAGCGCGCACGAGATCGTTTTTTAACTCTTGTATTTGCTTTGCCCTGCAACGATGCAAAGTTTACCCAATGGAGATTGTAACAGTGTTGTAACAGGTAAATTTCAGTGGAAGCTCTTGCTCCTCAACCAATACTCTGTCCACATAACAGTAACACCACTGTTTATTGTAAGAAGGTATCGTTTTGTTTTTTTTTAACCGTACCATTTGTGACAATACAATTCTTTGTTGCCTCATCATAAAAAGTCATCTTAGCTGATCATAAAATCCTGCGGGTAGGAGATTTTTCACTTCGGATGTTGACATCACAACTCAGATAAACTTATTTAAAAAAACACATACATTCAACCCGCTTTCGGATTGCTTTATTGTCATTACACATTCGTGCAACGAAATTATCTTAACAGGCACGCTCTGCACAAGAAACATGAAAAAACAATGACAAACATGGAATACAGTGCAAAGGGCCTGTCGGTACTCGCTATGTAAAGTGCCCCGAGATCTTAGTACAGGAAAGGAAACCACTAGGGAGGGGGAGGTTTAAAAAAAACATGCTCAAACTATCCTCTTTCTGAGGATAATTTGGGTCTAGGAGAAAAAAAAAACCTAAGCACAGAAACAAGCATATGACAGTTACAACAAGTCACAA